TTTAACTTAAAATTTTTTTGACACATATTGTTTTAATAAATGAGAGAACATTTTACAACAATTTACAATTTTAAAATTTTTTATTAATTTGAGGTCATTTTTGGCCTTATCAAACAGCTGGTACCTAATAAAATATATACCTAGATATAATTTAGAGTTATCCGAATAACACGAAGAGTCAGGACATACCTTAAAAGTATGCTAGGAGAAACCGAAATATAAGAAAATATAAACTTAACAACAGTAATTTTTGTATTAGTAGCTATACTTAGCATATTATTTTTTTTTTTTATTGGTTTACGGTCATTGAGACGATACCGCCAAACAAATTTTTCTCCATCTATCTCTATCTTCTGCCGCTACTCTCCATGATATCACTGGTTCAATGCTTCCCACGTCCCTTTTTACACAGCCTTCCCAACGTAAGCATGGTCTTCCTAGGGGTATCTTACCGACCGGGTTATCTTCGATTGTTATTTTGACTATGAATCCCACTCTCCGCCCAACATGTCTTGCCCAGGTCAATCTCCTTTTCTTGATTTCATTCGCGATGTTCGGTCTTTGGAACAGCTCCTCGAGTTCTTTATTATGACGTTTACGCTATTCACCTGTGTTTGTGTTGACGTATGGGCCGTAGATTTTCCTTTCAAATACTTTTATTCTGGTTTCTTCTGCTTTCATAAGTGGCCATATTTCTGCGACATACAGTACTATGGGTCGTATAATGGTCATGTAAATTTGTATCTTCGTATTTTCAGGTTTGTCAATAATACTCTTGAGCTCGGTAGTTTTCCAAGACCAAAAAAACTTTTGTTGCCTTTTTGTATCCTAGCACTGACTTCCATTTTCAGATCATTATCTTGTGTTAGAAAGTGCCCCAAGTACTTGAAATGCGTGACTCTTTTGAATACATGCCCTTCAACATTCATAAATTGTCCTTGTTGATATTCTCTGTCCTGGCAACTTAATATCATGTACTCTGTTTTTTCGTCGTTTATTTCCAATCCGACTTTACTAGCCATCATGATGAGTTTCCTGCATACTTGTTTAACCGTTTCTTCAGTATCTCCTAATATCACTATATAGTCCGCATAAACCAAGATATTTATGTTCGAATTTCCCAATACTATTCCATTGTTACAATTTGTTTCTTTTACTTGTTTAATTACCTTTTCTAATATTAGGTTGAACAATATTGGTGATAGCGCATCTCCTTGCCTTAGGCCTGTCTTTACCGCTCTGACAATTCTGATGCTACATTTATTTTGATTTCTGTATTTTGCAGGGTAGGTAGCCTCAATTAATTTTATTAATTTATTTGGAAACATAAACTCTTTCAATATGTTTATAAGGCTATATCGGTGGACAGAATCGTACGCTTTTTTGAAATCCACAAATAATATATATATATATATGTTTTTATTGAATTCCCATGATGTTTCTATGATCTGTCTTAGGCTGAAGATTTGATTCGTTGTTGATATGTTGGGTTAAAAACCACCTTGATTATCTCCTAGCATTTCTTCCGCAATGGGTTTAACCCTGTCTAAAATGCAATATGGCAATATGTTGTAGACCACATTCAATAAGGATATTCCTCTGTAATTATTACATATTTGTGGGTCATCTTTCTTATGGATTGGACATACGACTGCAATATTCTAACCTTCCGGTAGTACTTCCTTCTCTCAAATATGGGTTAGTAACCTATGTATATGTGTTAATGAATCTTCATCCAGCATTTCATTAATTCACTTTGTATATCGTCCTCATCAGGTGATTTATAGTTCTTCAATCGCCTTATTTGTAGTTCCACTTCTTATTTTAACGGTATTGTATATTCATTTAGGTTGGGTTCTGTTTTTGTCTAAGTAAAGGTTACTAAGGGGGCGTTGCAGTTAAGAAGATGTTTGAAGTGCGTTTTCCAGCTCTCTATAGTATCTGATCGGGCAGTTATTAGTATTCCATCTTTCTTTATTAGGAACTTTTCATATTTTTTGTAACCTCCCTTCAGTGTGTTAATTTTTTTGTATAATTAGTGAGTGTTATGTTCATTGCGATATTTTTTTGCTTCTTTCAAAATGTTTTTCGTATAGGCTCTTTTTTCATACTTAAAGATTCGACTTGCTTCTTTTCTGCTCTCATTATACTTTGTTTTGTTTTCTTCATGGAAAAGATCATTAAAGTATAAGTTTCTAAATTTTTTTCCTTTGATTTAGGGATTTCTCACACTTTTCGTTGAACAAAGGTTTTTTAGTGTTTTTTAATTTGCCCAGGCCTTCAGCTGATGTTTCTTTTATTATTTCCTGTACCCTCTTCCACATATTATTTATTGAACCTGTACGATCTATATCTAATTCCCTGCTGCGTCTATGTATCTCACTTATAAAACGTTTACGGCATACTTCATCTGTGAATTTAGTTATATCATACCTGTCAATAATCGTTGGTCTTGTTGCCATCCTCCTTTTTAGTCTTGCTTTAATTTTTATCTTAACCAAATAGTGGTCAGATTCACAGTCTGCTCCTCACATCGTTTTGACATTCGTAATACTGTTTTTGAATCTGTCATTGACTAGCACATGTTCAATATGATTTGTGTGATTCCCATCTAGTGACTTCCATGTTCCCTTATGGATCTTTTTATGGGGAAATATTGTGCTCTTAATCACTAAGTCTTTGATTGTTACAAAGTCGATTAGGTTGAGGCCATTATTGTTCGTTACTTTATGCAAGCTACTTTTAGCTTTCCTACTTTTACATTTAGATCTCCTAATATAACTACTATTCTGTTATTAGGTATTCCATCTACTACGTTTGTTAATTCATTATAGAAGTCGTCTTTTTCTTTTTGAGTCTTTTCCTTATTAGGGGCATGAACATTAATTATTGTGAAATTAACCCAGTATGATTTAATAATTATTGTTAATAGTGATATTCTTGTGTTAAATGTCTTAAATTCCATTACGTTTGGTACTACTGACTTATGTACTATGAAATCCGTAACGAATTTTCGTCGATTATCACAATCCCCATAGAAAATGGTATGATTATTAATGTCTAAGGATCCCGTTCCTTGCCATCTAATTTATAGGATAGCCACGATCTTAAGTTTATAACTCCCTATTTCTTGCGTCACTGTATGTGCCGCTCCAGTGTTATATAATGTCCGAAAGTTCCATGTACCCAAAAATATTTCCAATTTCCAGTTTCCATTTTTATTTTCCTTATCTCCACTATTCTGAGGCTTTTTATTTGGTTGCTAAATATAAGTTTTTTACGAGACTGGGTTATTAACCCAGCACCCAACCCTCAACCTGGAGGACCAGACCACTCTAATCAATTAAGACCGGAGTGGGGCTATTGTAGCACCCAATGAAGGTTACTGGGCGATGGGAACGCCACTTTCCCAATCTAGTAGATTATATCTTATTAAATGCACATGAGAAAAATTTACATTATGAAATAATGTAGTTAGAGTCCCACATATTAGTGTACTATTATATAATGAAACACTCATTATATTAATTTTATAACATTTTTATATAGTCGTAGAAATTTTAGCCAAAGTGTACTAAATATTTCAATCAGTAGTGTCTAGTGTCTCTACTGTGTTTACTATAATAAGTACTTCTACCGATTAATATCATGATTAAACGTTAGTTCATTTTTGGACGTGTACTAATTTAAAGGAATTTATAGGATAAAATATAGTTGTTTCACAAAAAAATTCCGCAAGAAATACTCGTATTTACAATTTTTTTCAAAATGATTATTTTTAGGAATGGACGAGTCACTATATCATTATAACGTTTTACTTTTACAAGCATTAATAAATCATGATATCAGAAAAACGATTTCAATTGCATCTCAGCGAATTCATTAAGGTTTACAAGTCTTAATTGTAATTGCAAAACTAACATTAATTAATATTTCCGATGAAATTTGAGAATAGTTCAAAAATAGTTCAATTAATCTTATAATAAGTAAAAAATCTTAAACTGGATAAACAACCAATTAAATTAAAATAAAATGCAATTTTTTATCGTAAATAAAACTTAATGTACACAATAATACAGTTATTTTATCATATAATATTTATTATTATTAATAATAATAAAAATATCAACATCAACAAAAATAATAACAACAATAAGAATAATAATAATAATGGTGAATATTAATTGCAGATCGTTACGAAATATAAATAAGGGCCCCCACACGAACTTGTTTAGTGGGGACAATTATTTTTTCGAAGAAATAAACAACAGTTACAATTAGAATAATATTAGTCATATATAATGATTATTAGTGAAAATAATTAACTAGTAATCTATAAAATTTGAAGCGCAATCGAAAAATTATTTTGACAAATGATAATCTAAATATTTAGATTAGAATTAGAATATATCAAAAATAATAAAATAGTATAACACTATACAAGTCTTAAATTTAAATTCTTTGAGTTCATGAAGAGAAATCCTAATCTTTTTTTTCTATTATAATAAGCACATTGTAACAAAAGCAAAAAATTACGTATTACAATTCTAAATAAATAAATACATTTTGAAGTTTCTCAACTTATAGTTAAATTATTGTTGTCGGCGCCAATATATTATAATTTGGTACCTATTTGGAGCGTACGTAAATATCTCGCCGCCGACCGACACACAAACACTCGCGCACATTATAGCGTTATTTTTGTATTTATTTTTGTTTTAATTATATTTTGTGTTGTGAGTTATATAATATGTTAATCAGTTACCGGCGCGTTATCTGCTGTCACCGGCTCACAGTTGCACGTAATTTAACACGGCCGCCGCAATTTTTGTCGCTCTCTGCACGTCGTTCGTGAATTGTCCATTGCGCGTTTGCGAACATTTTTTCTCTTTTACAAAAATTTGTTATAGGCACGAATTGCCAGTATTATTATTATCATTTTTTATTATATTATTTTACGTGCGCTAATCGCCACTAAATGTTGTGAATTTTATTATATTATTATTGTGTGTGCGCTAATCGCCACTATTTTTTATTATTATTGTATTTTAAAGTATAGTTTTTAGGTAGTTGCAGCTGGCCAGTCTGCGTTCCACAAACTGTGAGTTTTTATATATTTATTTTATTATTTAATTATTATTGTGTCATATTATTATTATTATTATTTATTATATTGGTTGTGCCGAATCGGCATTTTAGTTAGGCTCAAATAGCCAGAGTATATATTATTATTATTTATACAATTTACGTGTTGCTGTGAATTATTTTTTGTAATTACAATATTTATTTTAAATTTTATAATTTGTTGTTGGGCCAGAAGGGCCGATTCCTATAATTTATTTTATAAATACAGCAACATAGTTACCATATTTTTTACATTATTTTAGTTACCATTTTTTATTCCTTCCATAATTTTAAGTACACACAACATACATACACACATACACACCACTTACACACATAGTCGGACAGTAGTCGCGCGGCGATCCCAACCACTGCTGTCCGATCTATTTACAAAATACACACACATTTTACAAAGGTCGGTCGGTGTGTGAGTGCAGCGCACGGAGTATTTAGGTAACCGGGTACGCGTATCATTGCTTTACGCTCCCGGTCCGTACAATTGTCTTTTAGTGTTGTACACTATGCCATCTCGATTTAAACTATAAATGTACAACTGTTTCTATAATTTGAAATACGATATCAATATAAATAAAATGGGATTTAGTACAAAATAAATTAGTTTGAAATGATTATAATTCATTATTTAATATATTTTATGGATATAAAAATAGACTACAAAAAAAGGCATTTAAAAGTTTTACGATTTGAAGTTAACATAAATGTAATAGTAAATAATACCTACTATAATTGTTACAATGAAAAATTACACTGTATACACTTTCCAGTTCATTTATCACTCATATAACTACATTATCATCCATATTTAATAAATGTTTCTATTTAAAACAACGTTATAGATATGTTAGTTTTAAATTTTAAATATTGAAAGCGTTGTGCATTTATGATTAAAACACGTACAATAAACAAGGTACTAACCTTGGTAGAAGCTATATCAATAATAATACTAATTATTCTAGCTCTTAGTTTCACAGAAGTTTAACTGTGTACTTTATTAACTTTTTAAATAGTTGAATATTGTACAACAGTTACAACAGTTATCATTGATCTACAAGTAAGTTCACTTCAATTAAATAAGTTATAATTAAATACATGACTTCAAGAACATTAAAATAGGGGCACATTAATTCGTACAACATAAATAAAGGTTAAAAACAAATTAAAACAATTCGTAAAAATATATATTGTATTAATAATTAATATTTATCAAAATTTATATAAATATCATTTTTATCTTATATTTTTCTGATCAATGTGTATTATAAAACAATTTTGAAAAATTCGCACTAAGTCGCAGATAATAAGAAACTACATAATATAGATTAAAATTTAATGCAATTCCATTTGTTATAATATGCATAGTAAACTACTATTATTATTTTACGCACTTTTTAAAACGAAACAATTATTTTTTGGTATATATTACCTATAAAGCAATACAACCTATAAATTAGTTATATCATAAATTTATTTTATGATATACATTGTATATTTCTTTAGGATTATTAATTATTTAATAATATTTTTAGTTTATAATTAGACTTTATCAAATAAAATAGTTAATAGTAAATAAAAAAACCACATAGTTAATTGATCGAAATAATTATAAGTTTTGGTTGGTTAATAAAGGTTAAATTTCTCTAATTTTTACTAGCTAGAAAATATAACTGACATTGAAGGTGAAATTACCGCGAAAAATCTATTCTAATATTAGCGTACACAAAAATACACATTTACTATATTTTTGGCAGATAATAATGAAACAAATTAAATTGACAACCCGTCAGTTTATATACATTCAAATATTTATTCATCAGTAGTCAGCACCACTATAGTTATAAGCATTTTCCAAGGTCTTACACTCAAGTGTTAAATTTTAATATAAAAAAAAAGCGTCAATCTCGTACAAATAAAATTTTATTTCATGGTGAAATTCAAAATTATAGACTGAAATATATATACAGTTATTTTATTGAAACAAGCTTATGAATTATACCTTATTATTTAAATATTTTGAATTCAAAATTTTCAAAATGTTTTAAATTATAATTTTTTAATGAATAATATTATAGTTATACAGTACAAATTTTGAAATTATTTTTGCTTAATTTTTTAAAATTCATACGTAATTAAGAATGAACATTTTAAACAAAAATTTAAAAAAAATGATTAATTCTGAAAACACGTATTTTTAATAATGTATTACATCATAGATTATTTAAAGAAAAAAGAGCAACAATATGATACATTACTTTTCCTTATTTTAACAACAGTTAACTATATATCCATACATAATTAACAAAATAATATTAAGCTAAAAAAAAAAAAAACAGGAAATTAATTAAGTCTTAAATATTTAACTATTATCATAGTCAATTGTTATATGAACTATCAGCTAAACATGTTAATAATAACAAAATTGTGTTATTTTGAAAAAAACTCAGTGTATTAATTGATAAACTTTATAATACAAATATAAAAAGTATTAATTTAAAAATATAATTGATAACCTCTTTTAACTCATCACACTAATATTAAAATTAATTTAAAATGTTCCTATTTCATTGTTTTATTTTAACTACTTTATTCTATATAAATATAGGTCAACTAAACACCTGCATCAATATAAATTACACAATTAAAACTGTTGTGGATCGTAAATCAATAAAAACAGAAAATATACTTTATTATTATAAAAAATAGATAATTTGAAGATATTGAATATCTTAAATCTTAATTTGTTGCCCCTGTCAATTACAAGCTCAACAAGATTTAGATCGGCATAACATATTATGCCGATCTATTGATTCGATAAGGATTTTGAGTAATCATTTATTTGGATTCGCCGTGAAGTCTACTTAATAATTTATTGTTAGACATTTAAATTTTCATCTTTCTGAATCTAATAATATATATAGTATACACTCCTTCGACAAATAATGTGATATACCCTTGGTAGCTTATTAAGGTAAATTAATTATCATGAAACAAAAGGATCAAATTTATTATTCATACGTCATTATAGTAGAATAGCAAACATAATTTATTATTACGAAAAAGTAGTTACATATCTATTCTGTATGTATCATTTATCATTCATACATTGAATTGTAGTTTTTATTATAACATAGAATATTTAATATGAATATAAGTTATTTATATATTTATATAATGCTACAGTAAATTATTGTTTACAATAATATTACTCAATTTAATTATTATGAAGTATAAACAGGAACCATATGTGTATATTAGTGCTTTACATGGCTCGGTTTAGTCGAGTCTTATCGTATAACAATTGAAGGTCTGACTCCATATTTTTATGAATATAAAATATAAGAATTCGACCAGGTTCTGGTATAAACTATAATCATTTCAATTCGGTCCGGTTTCTAAAATAAATTCAGATCGATTCGGTCCCGGTTATACAGTTACAGCTTGTTTAAAGTCCATCGAATAATGATTTTAAATTATAAAGAAATTTTATAGAATTAATAACACCATTTACTCATATATTATCACAGATAACATTAAACCAGATGATGCGTTCTCTATGCTGCAATGTAAATGCCTGCCAATTCAACTATATTCAATGTAGTGTCACAACATTTCATTGTACGAAATGTACAAACATTTTACCATAATAATAATTATTAATAATTTTAAATTGTTCGCAAGTGAATGAATTAGACATTATCACAGGGTCATATCAACAAAATGCACCATTAAACAAACATCATTTTCAAAGAACTTTTTTTAATAGTCGTCTCACTGCATTGAATATAGTATGGATTGTTTACATTTTCAAAAAAAGCTGAGTGCACCTTCTGGTTTAATCTAAGATACTGTGAGTATACAACGAATAGACCCACAATCAACTTGTTATTGAATTATTTATTTGTATTTCATGAATTATATACAAGTTCATTGTTAATTGTGTAAAATATTCAGAAATAAAATATTATTTTGGATCCAGAAAAAAAAAATTATTTTAGATTCAGAAAAATAAAGGAATTATAATCATATATAGTTTTATAAAAGTAGTGACCAATTTTTGCGATAAATAAATCTATCTACTTGTAAAATTACCACTAATATGATAACAAGCACTATGTGTACATTGTAACAGCGGTTTTGGTGAGTCACTTTGGGTTTCTTTAACGTAATTATAAATAAAGACATGTTGGTATGTCGTAATTCTAAGTTTCGACAATTGCTCGACCGTGCTTGTCTCCTATCCATCGAATGAGTCTTTTTATTGTATTTTTTGTCTCTTCGAGCTTGTTTTTATTTTTTCGTTCCAACACCGCCACAGTAACCTTTTTTAATATTTATATAATATTATAACACTCCGTTGAGCACCTTTATTATTCGTTTTTTCGTATGCGCTTTTATTAATATATTGTAACTTTTAATAATTAATTACATTCGCTCAATTGTATTTCGTCGCCCTACTGTGAATAATCAATGGTAGTCGTGTACATAGCACACCAACCAACCACCCAAAATATTATCATGGGAATCAATATTTTACCCCTGCATCATTGTTTTATGTATACTTTTAAGTATACACACCTTAGAGCTGTTTATGGTATCTATTATTATCGAATATATTTTCAAGAACAACGGTTGCAATTATTCGCGTTATGGTTAAGGTGACATGAAAAAGCTTGTATACATCTACCACGCCACGCCCGTCTGATAGAATTTGTATTAAATGTATACAATGTAGTTTATATGTATTTTAATTACAAATATCATTATTTTAAAATGTTTTAGTGTTACTTAATACCTACATTTCCCTACATTTTAATTTTGTTTTTAAAAAACTAGACGTCGATTTATGTAATTTAAGTTGAAAATTCATCTTGTTTCAATTCAATTGTTTTAGTTAATAACTAAATAGAAACATAATGGTAATCTGCAAGAGAATATTAATGGTACCAATACCTTATTCTAGATATTAATTTACTAATCAAATAATTATGGGCTAATGTTTTATTATTAATATTTCATATATTAATTAAAAATGCAGGAAAAATAATTCTAAAACATTTTTTTTTTTTAAGTTTTTTTCTAGTTTTTATTTATAAATATATAATCGGTAAAATCTTTTTATACATTAATATGAGCTCATAGTAGAAACCAAGAGGTTACGCTAAACGCATTTTCCGTATGCATTTTTAACTTGTTAAACCTTATTATTGTATTGTATTATTTTAAATAAAATTGGTCTTTTTTCCTTTTTATAACTATAATTATTATACAAATTAAGAATACCTATATGAAATAAATACTAAAATATCTAAAAAGACTGAAATTAAAAAAAAGAAAAAAAAAGTGTACTTAGTTTTTACTACTCTTAAATTAAAAAATTTGACAAAAACGTTATATTTGCTGTGTAAAACCCTGTGTAATCTCGGATAAAAAATTGGTCACTGATAATATTTTTTATAATCAGAGAGCTTGGAAGACTCGGGACGGGTTTGGATCGGATATGTGTGAATACATACACTGAAAAACAAGAAGTTCATACTTCTGTGTACACGGATACTTTCACGGAAGGGACTCGAAACGGACTCGTAAACGGATCGGATGTGGTGAAAGGATCCTTATCATTATCTTATCACCGACATATTTTTTGTACATTCATTGGATTTGTAATATTTAAAAACTTTTTATATGAGTAGATTATACATAAAAAATTAAAGGATTAATAACTAATGTTAATAATTTAATTTAAATAATTGCACTTGTGAAATTGTTTTTTTTTTTATGAATTAATTGATAAATAATAGAAGTATCAAAGGAAATATAAAAATAATATAATTATATATACATATATACAAATCTTCCATATAGTTAACTTGACAACATTTAAATTTTACTTCAGAATATAATTATAATATTATATTATATTCCATGCCAGTAGCAATATTTTATTATTTTCTATTTAAATAGATATATATTCAAAATAATGAGAAAAGAAAATTGCAATCAAAAATATTTTTTTATAATTTATATAAAATATATAATAATTAACTATTTTTATATAGTAAAAATTAAAATTCTAGCTCAATACTTGAAATAGGAAGTATTTTTAATTATTCGAGGGTGAATTACTAAAACCTAACATATTATATGTTTTAAGTATTTTATATGCTTATATTACCAACCCTACTTTTTATTAATTAGTAATGAAATTAAGTTAGAAAATAAATACAATAAAGATATATTGGTTGGTCCTCAATAAGTCTACGTCAAATGTAACAATAAAAATTCTGACTCCACAACAAAGATAAATTATCTAATTTAAATTTGTGATAAATGTAAACAATAAAATAAAAACTTACCGCGCTATTTGCATAATCCGCGGACGTACTGGATTGGATCTTGTTTTTCTTTTCGTTTAAACTCATGTTGGCGTTTTAGAGCAATATTATTTATGTAGGAAATAGTATGTATTACTATTATTGAACAATATATACAGTTTAAATAGTATGTTATGGTATCTTTTTTCTTGGCGCTCGTCCTATCCTCGCTGGTCGACAGCTCGAACTCATGGATCGCTGTACCGGCGTCCCTTCCGGTCGTTTTGATACAACAGATGCCGTCCTGATGAAATTATGTACCTCACTGTTAAATAAATACAAATAAAAGTATTATAATTAATCATTTTTACTTATGAATAGTCCTGATTTAAAAAAAATAGTATTTTAGTTTTTAAATGTATGAGTTTCCATACAGTTTATATATATATAAATTTGTATATTATACATAAAGTTAGGTAAATGTTTTCAGATAGATGATTATTGCAACCAATATAAATTTTCAAATACACACAAATAGGAACAATATTTAATGTACAATGTAGAATCGATATTACGGCAAGTATTTTACATAAATGGCTCACCTCTGTCAAACTACAAAATATTAATCTCGATATTAATACAAATTTAAATTTAGCATTAATTATAAAGCTAATGTTATTTATTCATTAGCTGAAAGCAGCTGAATAATGTTAATTTTATCGGCTAGTGTTAAGAATATCCATTTGTATTAGTAGCTAAAATCCGAAAGTTTGACATTAGTCAAAAGCATTGACTATTCGGCTAATCTTAGATCAGCCATATTTTGGACACTAGCCGTAAGATATACAAAGGTACTTCAAGAACTATATTTACATTTACATAACTTAAAGAAAGAAAATTACTGCTCTCAACAACCATTTTGTTGTACACGCCACCTTTTTGAAAACAAAAATCCAGAATTAGATTTAGTACAATTAATTGCCATTATTTTAGAACATTGGAGATGCAATCAAAGAAAAAAAAAACGATGAGTATGTGATCTTGATAAAATCTAGGGTTCATATAACTTCGTACCATATTTTAATCAAAATTATAATTTTTTTTGAGTATATTATAATATTATATAATTTTCTTGTTGTGTCAATTTAAACAGTTTATGTACATTTTAAAGCGTATAACTGCGGTCGAAAGGTTTTTGTTTTTTCTTCAATTTGGGAAGCTGGTATGCAGTGTATGTCTAAGCATACCCTCTACTGCATTCCTGCTTCTACAGAGCTCAATCACATTTATACTTAGAATATAAGTAATTGGCAGGGCCATCTTAAGCTTTGCAGAGGTCCATGGGCACCCGGATCTAGTAAGCCTACATAAATTGTATAAAAAACATCAAAAGTTTATTTAATATGATAATTAAATAAAAACTGTGTACATTTTAAAGAATTATAAATGATATTTTACTGTTATAACTTTCAACAATGAACTTATAGTTTATGTATATCGTTAAGTAAGCAACGGTTGTTTTCGAGGTTTTTGTTGTGCAAAATCTTCAATTATATCTTCGAAGTCTAGTATTTAAAGGAAATCACTTTCTATGCACATTGTTGACAAATTGGTGCTCCGTTCTTGCAACATAGTTGTTCGTAATTCGTTTTTATTCTTTTCAGTTGTGAAAATGAGCGCTCCCCACTGCAACTGGTGATCATAAGACAAAGGAAAATCCTTGTGGCAACTTAAAGGTTTTCAAGTATTCCCTTAAATGAAAACATTCTGAATTTAACTCATTAGTATTTATGTTATCACAATAGAAATCTGCCAATTCTTTGCATTTTTTTTTCAAATGATCAAGTTTGATTGTTTGTAACTGAATTAAAAAACTAAAACGTTCATTAATTTCTTTGTACGATTCAGATCGTTGCTTTAAATGCGTATTAAGCGTGTCAACTATGGAAGGAACGTTTCTACATAACATTTTTTTTTACCATCCAACTGCATAGTCTCTGATGGATTTTCTAAAAAAGTGATACGTGTGCCGCCAATTCTTTTTCTTTGCAATTTATTTTTGTAGTCAGAATTTGGTTTTATTTCTTTAGCGGCCGATGCATACTGATCAAAATTATTTTGTGCATTACTAATATACTCGCTTAGTGACGCAAACAGTTTTGTTGCAACGTCCATTGTTATAGAATTATTCTGTAAACTTAAGCTTGTTTTATTTATAGCTCTCAGAAGGTCATTTCATGTCTCAGTTAGAATAATGGTCTCCAATTTTTCCATTTTTTTGCCAATACTTTGTACCTCGTTTCTCGTTTCTGCTGATTGATCAGTGTTTTTAGCGATTGCTAATAAAGCTTCAAAAATATGATTATAACCATTGTGCAAAGCATTAATAGCATCAGCGCGTGCAGATCATCTGGTTTCAGATAAGCTTTTAAGAACTTTTTGTTCGCCTAAACATTCTTTTAATATCTTCCATCGATTGTTTGAACTCGAAAAAGAATTGAACAATTTCTGGACGAATTGAAAGTATGCTACTGCTTCTGAAAATCATCCAACCGCTTGGACACCTACCAGATTCAACGAATGTGCTGCACATGGGACGAAAATTGCAAATTTACATTGTTCTTTAATTCTTGCCAGTAGACCAAAATACTTTCCTACCATATTTACGGCGATGTCGTAACTCTGCCCACGACAATTTTTTATTGGAATTTTTAGGTTTTCCAAAAAGTCTAAAACCGTATCTGCTATATATTGCGTTTTATGCTCTTCGATAGACAAAAAATGCAAAAGTCTCTCAATAAGATTTCCATCTTTAACAAACCGTACAATAAAAGTGAGTTGGTCCACATGAGACAGGTCTGATGTGGAATCGACAATTATTGAGTACTGTTTTACTGCTTTTATTTCACTAATAATCGTTGTTAACACTTTTTTCCCCATTATATTAATAAATTCGTTGCAAATATTTGCAGACAAATATGATTTACTTCCTTTTCCACGATATCCGTAGTTTTGTATATAATCAGTTAAAAAAGGATTAAACTCGCTTATTATTTCTGAGTATCCCAAATAATTACCGTTATTTTGAGATCCCAACATTTCATCATTACCACAAAATCCAAGTCCTCTTGAAGCCAAGAACTTCACCACAGCAACAATCTTTTTGAGTACACTCTTCCAATATTTTTGCTTCTTGAGACATACATTATTAATTGGATACAATTTATGCGACGATTATCCGATTAATAATGTATTACTTTACTGGTCTAATTATTTTAAATTATAATTTAAGTATATAACACCTAATGATTATGCATTGTGTGCAAGTAAAATACTTCAGATATATTTTTACGATTAGTTAAATGAATTAATCAAAATGTTATTTAACTTAACGTTTAACAAAACGTTTCACTAATATATTTCATAATATATTAAGCGTGTTAACTGGAGCAAAATATTTATTAGAATTAATTTTTTTAGGAACTCCGGGGACATTGAGAAAAAACTGTGGAGAGTTAATAATTTTAGATTATCATTAGTAAATTAAAGTAGATATCTTTGAAGATAGGTTTGATAATTATTCTAAAGCGACGCTATGAGTAAAGATTAAAGAATACAATTAGATCTGAATTTTCATACTCATATATGAAAACCCTAAACATAATAATAACGGGTTATGATTGATTGGATTTATGCCTGTTACGAGTACAAGAAGGTGAGTAAATACATCCACTCTTGAGCTAATTATAATGAATTTAATTAAATCTATATTTTACTTTTACATTTTTACTATAGTTAGAGGCTTACACATCAAAAGACTTACACAAAGATTGGACATGTAGTTATATAAATTATAAATTTAACAATGTTATACAACACAAACGAATTAAACTGGTTAATTATAAATCGGGACTTGATCGTATGATCGTATTTATAAATACTATAATTGAAAATTAAGTTTTTTTACTCTTAAGCGGATAATTATTTGATTGAGAAATAGAATAAGTGAAATAGATTAGTTAGATATTTAGCATTGCTAAATGTTCATTTATTTTATAATCATTTTATTTTTGCAATAATAAGTTAACAGAATTAGAGTTTTTAAAGTATAAAAATAAATATGTCTGAAGTTTGTGAGAATCGATTAAAAATAGTCATAACAAAAACTATAAAAAATTAATAACCTATTGAATAAAACTAAATTTGATATTGGATGAATTTTAACCCCCTCCCAACCATATTAATTAATTTCTGGATCTAACTGGTTTATGTTATTAGAAAAAGGAACTAAATTTTCTTGAGGCTAGGTAAATTGGGTACTTTTTGAAAGCGGTAAGTTGAGTCCCGGAGAAAAAAAGGTAGTAGGTAAGTTGGTTCCTGGCTAATACTCTGATTTCTTTTCAACAATAAAATATCAATGTAATCATTGATCATGCCTAATTAAGATATCTATATTATACGGGCGTGAATATATATAATATTATGTTTGATATATTATGCGTATCCAGTTATCACCGATTTTTATGATGGATTTTTTTTATGGATATTTTGTGATTATATACTAAATACTTATATCTCAGTTGATGCTAAATTTATCCCAAATATTTTGTCTCAATTTACTGCTACCACCATCGTGCGTAAAACCAATAGATGTGAATCATATCATTCACAATTACACCGTTAATTTAACATTCCTCGTCATAATATTTTTAACTTTATGGACGAATTTTTAAAAATACAGTAGAGACACAAGTAGAATTACAAAACACAAACCAAAAAACGAAAAGTACACTCGATAAAGAACATAACTTAAGGAAGCAAATGACAAAATACACTAATAATATGATAACCCGATTTGAGCTTGTTCAATCCATATCATTTAAATTTTTACCAAGTGCACAATTTATAATTTATTAATTTTTTTATTAATATTTTATTTATATTTTATATTTTACAACATGCATGGTTTTAATCCATTTTTTTTGTATATTATTAATAAAAATAATTTGTTTTTGCTGGGGCCCAATTTACTTACTACCTTTTTTTTCCAGGACGCACTTACTACCTACTTTTTTGCAGGACCCAGTTTACTTACAAAATATCATCAGGTAAACGTGGAATTAGTTCCGGGTTAAGTCAATTAAAGTGTACGAATATAAATACATTTTAAAACTTATTCCATTAAAAACTTACACATCTCAAATCAGATATAATATTTTCTAAGTCTAGATATTTTAAAGTTAAAATATCGTACATCTGTTTTGAAGATTGTGAACGTGTAACGTGTAACGTGTTGATCCTGCACAAAACTTGAATCTTCTCTCTCTCTCTAATTGAATAAATGCTTCTAATCCATCATCTTTACGTTTTCGTTTTTGTGTTGTCGTAACAGCTGTTGTAGAGGACGAGGCTGAAGAGATGTTATAATTACATCTTGCTTCAGTTTCATATTCTGTTGTCATGGCCGACTCAGACCGTTCAAGTTCAAATTCCTGAAGTTGAGGGTCATCCCGAGAAGTACTATCATTTTGATCTTATGTCATATTCGTGTCAAATTTGTTTACCAGACTAGCATATGTAGACTCAGAGGAATCCATTAAATGGCTTTCTGTTGATTCCTCTGGTTCAATAATATTTCGATCTTGTTTTCGGGGTATTAAAATAACTTTTAAAAATGACAAGGACTCAAAATATGGCCAAGTTCCTGTGTACTCCGGTTCATTGTCGGCATCAGCACCCGAACGAGGCTTGGGAATTTTTTTTAATTCTTTCGCATAAGTATCCCTTAAATTTTTCCATTTTTTTTTTTGCCCCATCAGCTGAAATAAAAAAGTATTGATACTCCAGATGATAACAATAAGGGTCGAAATGATTAAATGTATATCAGGGCTTCAAATCGTAATTTATTGCGAAATATTTCTTTTTATAACTAAGATTTGAAATTTCAACACAAGATTCCCTATACCGTGTGGTGCCCAGATAACTTTTTTCTTATCTACAAAATATTTGTTAGTTATAATAAAAAAAGGTTAATGAATGGCATTAAATTTGAATTCAATGATATAATATCATTGTATACGAAAAACGATTCTGAGCGAAGATGGTCAGTCAGTCTATAATATCTTACTAAGTGTATTAGATGATATTATTGTCAATAAAGTAATTAATTTTAATATTAGGCATTAGTATTTACTACAGTCTACATGCAGTTAGTTTAATTCATTTTTCCCAAAAAAAATTACATTTGAAAATGTCATTACGTGTATGTAAAATATAAAATAAATATAACAATATAACAATATAAACTAAGAGTTTCATATACCAACAAATAATATTTTTATTTTACAACAAAATTACTAAAATTGTTAACTTTGGTTTTAATGATGTGTAATTTCGTCCAAATTTGAATTTAAAATGTTTGTAAAAAATAACTTTGTAAATATTTTTTTTTTTAGATTTTTTGGTTACAGTATGAACAATTTATGAGAATGATTGCTTTAAATTTTCAATTCTTAGTTATAAAATTAACTACCATGATTGATAATTATCGAGATTTCGATAAATTTTGTAAAAATTCTAACTTTAAATGCTTATAAAAAAAATCGTGCCTATGTATTTTTAATATTTTTCAAATGCTATTGTAACAATATATCAGGAGCCTTGTATTAATTTTCAAACTTTTTTCATTGAACAAATAACATTTTATTGATATTTATAGAAAAAAAAACTAAAAAAAATGAAATTTGAATTTGTCCGTAAAAAGTTCAAAATAATTCAAAATATTCTCAAAATGTATGGTTTATATAAACTAAAAATATAAACTCAGTGAATTTTTCATGCATCTACAGTTATTCATTTTTGAAATACAACAAAATAAAAAAATCGCTACATGAGAAATCGAGTGAATACCAAATGTTGTAAAAATATGAACTTCAAACGCTCATAAAAATTTATTTTGACTCTCTTTTAAATATTATTTTTTTTTTTTTTTAATAAAAATAGACAAACTTATGATAAATCTTGTAATACATTTTAAAATCTTAGATTTAAAAATAAAATAATAATTTTATTAATTTCTAGCTCAAAATAATTTGTAAACTATTTAGTCATTTTTACGTATTTTGATAAAATTTGACCTAACCTATCATTAATATAATATTATTTATTTAATAAATCAATAAAATCGATGAAATTAAGTTACTTTGAAAACATATACTTATTATTATTTCAGATACTTAGCCACGGGCATACAATTCCGGCAACTCGCTTTCTCTTTCAGAATTTCAAAATCGGCGATAGCCACAATCGTTTCAGAAGTATGTAAAGCTATATGGACAACATTACTATCGAAACACATGCCTGAACCAACAGAAGATAATTTTAAAAAAATAGCGCAAGGTTTCTGGGACAGGCGACAATTCCCCAACTGTTTAGGAAGTATTGACGGAAAACACATACGTATAAAAAAACCAAGCAACTCCAGTTCCATGTATTATTGATATAAATCTTTCTTTTCAATCGGGTTATTAGCTGTAACTGATGCAAATTATAAGTTTGTTATGGTAAGCGTGGGCTCTCCTATGATAAAGAAAATGACGCAGGCGTTTTTGATGAATACCCCTTTAGGCATGCTATAGAAACGGGACGACTAAAATTACCTACAGATGAATTACTGCCGGGCTCCAGTATCAAGACTCCTTATGTTCTCTTAGGGGATGCAGCATTTCCTCTAAAGAAATATTTAATGAGACCATTTCCGGAAAAAACAACAACTAAAGACGATGCTAAAGATAATTATAACTATCGGTTATCTCGAGCAAGAATGGTGGTAGAATGTTCGTTTGGTTCTATAAGCTCTAAATTCAGAATTCTGCAAAAACCTATCGAAACCAATGTAGAAAACGCAGTCTATATTGTGAAAGCCATAACTTTGTTACACAACATCATGTATGATTTGGAATCAATAAATGACACTGAAGTTAGATTATTCCAGGATTCATACCGAAACACACCAAGAATACTACAAAATGATTTTCAAAAAAGACTTAATGCTTCATCACGTGCAGCTACGCAAGTGAAAGAAAATTTTAAATTGTATTTTGAACAACATCCCATACAAAGAATGTAAATAATTATGTTTGAATAAAAATATGTCATATGTACTTACATGTGTTATTAATTATTTTGGCAACTTCCTCCCATTCGCGGTGTGCTAATAATCTATTATTATAATTCTTACACCTCTTGTCCCACAATGCAGGGCGTTCTTGGACAGCACTGATCAAATTTTCAGGCATTGTAATGTTAATAGCAATAGAAAATTGAAAATGAAAATTATTGGACTAGTGTTCGTGATGGTCCATAAAATAATAATATAAAATAAAATAAGTTGTCATATAAAATATCGTCGGATTATTATATGTCACTACTCATTCAAACATGTTCCGACACGTTCAGACGCGACTAAACGCGTGAAAATATCAAACTATTTGATCACGATCGCATCGCGCCGCAACACATCGCTTCGCGCTTTGAGTGCATTTGACCACATAGGCCACTTTCGGCGAAGGCAATTGTTTGTAATTTTCGCGTCGCATCGTGTTCGCGTTGAGTTCGCTCACGTAGGACCCCGTGTAAGACTTACCATGGTATTTTATGGGCGATTTAAAAATATTCAATATTATTCATTACAAAATCAAAATTGTGGTTTAAAACAGCACTTACTAAATTTAAAGAAAATAATATTCGCGACGTAATGATTTTTTTCTTCTAAAATATTGTTATGTTTAAATGTTATAATAGTACCTAATTGAATACATTTATAATTTTTTGATTAAACAATATTTTAAGACATTGTATAACACCACCTCAGAAATATTCTCCTCTAAATAATTTATAATACGTTTTGAACTAAAATATGAACCTAGACGTTATAGTTTTGACTGATGTTTCGGAATTTTAATATATTAAACGAGACGGAAAGTTAGTATAAGCAATATACATTGATATTACGTCCTTTTAAATTATATTACTTGCTTATTAATATTGCTGTAACAAATATATTGTAATGAAACTAATAAAGACAAAACCTGCATAAAAGGGTACCAATTTTATTACCAAAACTCAATTTTATTTCAATATTGTACTATATTAACATGTATTTTTATAGTTTATATTGATATACTAGAAAGTTAAATAATGAAACAGGTAATACAAATTTTTTATTAAGAAAGTCAATATTACAATCGATTTTTTAATCAGAAAAAAAAATATCATGGTAAATAAATTACTTAATTTGAATTAACCCTTGCTGGTTTACAGAGCTAATCCCCAACCATGATTGAATATTAATTTAATTTATTTTCCTAATTTATTCAAACAATAAACACATTATTGTACCTCGTAGATACAAATTTAATGAATTATAATGTTTACAAATACCAACATACTAATAGTATACTAATAGTATATTACATAAACCATAGGAATACAGATTACAAGTACATTATTTTAAAATAACTTTTAACTTCCATGATTTCTTTCTTTGTCTAAATTTAACTATATATTTAACTTAAATTTAATTTAATGTTTAATAATTGTAGAGATTTATATAGGTAGGTGAGAAAATCAATTTTTCTAAAAATTATTTAAGCCAATAGCTTAAAAATGTATGATACTCAAAAATGAGTTCGTTTTAATTTACGAATGTAAAATAATAATAATTGTTTTTTTATACGTATACATTCGGTTAAAATTATCAAAAAGATGGCTTTAAAATCAAATATTATTTTAAGACAAGTTAGATGTAAGTGATTGTTTTAGTTGTTTTTCGAACTCACTTTCATTTATTACAATGATCAGATTAGAAATTATTGCATAAAAGCAATTATTGCAAAAGCTAACTACATGTATATATAACTACCTGTATGCCAAAATAATGAGATAATTTTAAAAAGTGACTTGGAACAGTGTTTAATTCACCAAATGTAAGTTATTTTTTTAGAGGCTAGTATGATTTTAATAGAAACCCAAAAACAGTTTAAAATTAACTTATGTGATACTTAATATTAAAAAAACAGCCTTCAATTTTAAATTATTTTTTTCGGTTCTAAGTATTTTTCAATGATCAATACGACGGTGCAAACGAAAATTAGCAAATATCATTAATTTAATAATTACAGCCATTTAAAGTTTTCAGTTTTGTTCAAATAGCCTATGTTAATGTATGCTATGGAGCAATGGATAACGCGGCACTACTATAAGGGCAATAGATTTAAAACGCATAATACTGACTTAATTTTTTCACTTTTATTATAACAATAACATTGGTATAATAATATAATATTACGAATCATTTAAATTATATAATCGTAATTTATGATGAAAATGACGAGAAGTGGCTATTCGGCGATAAAAACGGTAACTACCCTTTAGTGTAGACGTTTGGGAAAAAGAACTGTGGAGGTGATTATATTATATTTACATCTATCTAACTCCGCAGCGAGCGAGTGACAACGCTGGCAATATATGTACTTTAAAAACCATATTGTATAATTCTGAGGCATACCCAAGGTAGTTTTACACAACAAATCGAGGAATGTTTTCAATTTCAATTGACCGAACAATCGAGTGACATCACTGGCATATTATGTGCTTTTTAACATAGGTAAAAATTAAAATAATCCCCAGAAAAAAGTTGTTAAAATACATTTTAGGAAAACAATATTTGAAGTATTCGTTTGGGCTCTACGCTAGAATTGATTAAATTATTGTTTTCAATGAAAAAATTGCAAAAAAACAACAACGAATGGCCCAAGTATCGAACACTGTACTCTGTACATCGCAATGTGATAATACTAATAGTCACCACAGTGCGACAATTCAACAACAATAAGAATAGTATGAGTATATATACTAGAATATACTAGAAACTAAAAAATTTAATAAACTCAAATTTTAAAACTAAGTCCATATGCCAAACACGGATTTCACCAAAAAAAAAAAAAAATGTTATCAAAAAAAAAGGGTAACCTAACCCTATACAGTTGAAATGTTCTAAAAATGAATTTGTATTATTTTTAAATAAAACCTAAGGAATGTAAATATGACTTCTTTTTTAGTGATTGTTGACAACATTTTTTTTTGTCTTTAGTCAAATTATTATTAAAAATATTGGTTATTCTCCCGAATACGAGACTACAAATAAGTAAATATAAGTTTATATACCTAATTAATAGATTCACACTTTTAACTAACAAATTATAGACGAAGCCCTCAGTAAACCCAAAGAAAAAAAATACCTGGAAAAATTCCTAACAATAATTAACAACCGAATAAATTCCTATGTTTTGTCTGTCAAGGCCCAAAGAAATAATAAATATTACAAGGAATTAGTGATAAAATGTTTATTCGGCAAATCATTAAACATGTATAAAAATATAGTAGTAAATATAGTCACTACTATGTTTATAAAGATCGATAAGGTACTTCACATTACGTGTGCAGATTCGTGAATACCTACCTACTTTATTTATAAAACCACAATTGTCTGCGTATTTCTCGCTTTAATAAGCATTAAAAATTATAATTCAGTTATAACACTTAAGGAAAAAATGAAACACTTCCCAAGATAATTACTTTTAATCTAGCTTAAAAAAATATCATCTTGATTCAAACAATAGACTTCTAGTTGATTACCGGACAGGTATTACGTTTCCAAACGCACAAATATAATAATGTTTTATAATAATATAATAATGAAGGTGTTATCATAAATATTATTAGAAGAATAAGTTTTTGATTTTTTTTTTTTTTTTAACGTTCACGTGTTGAACGACATAATAAGAACTAAATATTCTTACCGTCACGACTTCATTCAACACATAAATATTCAATATTAAAAAATGGTGAAAAAAAAACGCAATAATATTTTTTTGATAGTCCATTATCGTAGGCACATGGTATATTTTGCCAACGACCATAGTCATGTGCGTAACTAAAACGACGTTCGTATATAGACTAAATTTTATCTCGACACGTAGCAACATCATGTGGTAGGATATTCGTACAATATAATACTACGGTGAGCCAAAAATGTGTGAATCACTGGCTATACGTAAGAGTATGGAGTCCGCCGAAAACGTTGTCAAGGAAGGAAAATTACTTGCGAAATACCTCGAATCGAATAGGGAAAAGCTCACATCGTGTTCAATTTCGCGGTCGGCGAGGGGCGTGTGCACTATTGCGGCGGCGTGTCGTTAGACCGTAATGATAAGAACGGATAAGCGAAAAAAAAACGATACGAAAGGACGAAAAACGTACCGCGTGCACATACACCGTACGACACACGCACACACACAGGCATTGCAACTGCTAAAAAATAAATAAATATTTTATGTTTTTTTCTCCGTGATCTTGGTCTGCATACGCTTGATTTTATCGTTAAAATATTGTTACACAATAACATTGTACGTACCACGAAACGAAATCTGTCGTCGACTCCCGGTGTGTGACGATGGATTTGTGAACGAGCGCGTGCACCCTGTGCTTCGAGGGACAGCCACGGCACGGTACGATCGGCGAGTAATATTCGTGCGACGTAGTGGTCTAAGCGGGTTCACGAATGGGGCCACCGAAGGAGGAGGGGGTGAAACGCGAAAAACGAAACGGGAAAAAAAAAATAACAAAACCGAACGCGGCCGTTGCGATGGGCACACTGTGCGCGTGTGCGACAAACGCGCGACCGTGTGCGTAAAGAATGACACACAACGTACGTTACTGCCAACCGACGGACCGACGACGACTGGAGCGTTGATCACGAACCGCGACGGCTGTCGGTCGTTGTCACTGCGTCGCGCTTGACGGTCGGCGCCGGCAGCGGCGGTGGTGGTGGTGTCGGCGGGTGTAGCGCGCGCGCGGTGTAACACACCGCCGAAGAATCGCGTCGGTCGGCCAGCCAAACCCCGACGAACCGGACCGGACGACGGTCAACAGTACAACGAAAAAGACGAGCGTCGGTGCCGCGTGCGCGCATACCGCTCGCGAAGAGAAAATGCGATCGGCCGACACGGGACAATGATCTTTGCGGGGTGAAAGCGAACGCGGCACGGTCACGGTACCGAGGGGTTGTCGGGTAGGAGGTGGCCGTGCGGCGAACCTCGCCACTGTTCGGTCCCGGTCGGTCGTTCCGTAGAATGCCGCGAAAACGATCTACCGCCACTGTCCGCCAGATGTCGCGGTACTCCGTCGCCGACACCGCTGCCGCGTGTTCCGAACCGACCGGGTTCACGGGATCATCCGTTACGTTCGCAGATTAAAAATGGTATAGCATTATTAATGATAAGTAAATATTATAGTGTTTATAATCAACGGTATAACATAAGTTTACAGCTTGCACCAGACCACGGTTCAAGATATACTTAAACCGTATATCTTAAACCGTGCACCAGACGAAACGGTTGGAAGATCGGTTTTTGTTTTTCTTTCAATACATTAGTTGAATTTTGATTACCTTCGTATATCCCTGTTAAAGAAGTCCGGAACCTGGTGAGCTTGACACCTCTTCAATTCAAACAGCTCGTCAGTTTTAGTTGTTACCGTTGAACGGCTAAACTTGGGGCTTGTGGGTAACTCTGATCGAAATATTATCTTTTAGTTTTAATTCCATAACGGTTTCTTATCAACTCATTAATGTGATACAACAATTCTGTTGTTATCTTAATAGTTTTTGCAATCACTTTGACAGTGTTGTAGCATTATATTTTAAACGTAAGTATTTATTTTTATTAATTTTTTTATATTTAATATCTATCGTTTCGAAAACATCCAAAAACTAATCAAATTAATTTAATTGGTTAACAAGAATGTTTTTATTTATTATTTTATATGTAAATACTCATCAGGTACAAAATATATTTGTTAAATTCAAAAAATTAAAATAAGATTTTCATAAGAATATCATGAATGCCCCATGGTGTCAAAATTCAGTATAACATGGGACAATCAGAAAAATAAAAAAAACCTAAGAGTAGATAATTATTACGGTTTAAATGCATCAAAAATCAATAAATCAATCCTTAATTGAAAAAAAAAAAAAATTTTAATTGAAAATACGTCTAGATTAAATAATTTTAAAATTATTTACAATAGACTTTCAAAATTGTCCCAAATTCGGCCGTTTGAGGGTAATACCATTACTGAATTATTGATTCTATTCAATTATTGTACTGCCATAAAATATGGCCAAAATACAGTTTGATCATGATATTAAATAAACGTATACTTTCTTAAAAACGCCTATAAAATCTCAAAATCATATATTTATTTATACTTCTAAGATTTGAATTAAAAATTTAGTATTTCGAAGGTATATCATACGATGACACAACATAGAAGAAGAGCTTACAATAAAAATTACTAATTGCATTATTTCCAAGAATATTAAATAAACATATAATATTTTTAAGTAAAGTGCTGTTTATCCAATACTACTTTTTGTACCGTTCATGTTGTTGGTTTTAATTTTCTTATGTTCATGTTAATTTTCAAATTTTATCGAAACTAAGTTATGGCGTATTCGTGCATTCTCATGAAATCGCAAGAAAACGGAATTATTAAACCAATTACGATACGTACGACATACATGCTTTGATTTTCGTAACTTTCTAAACAATTTAGCAGCTGCAGATTTTTAGTTCTATTAAAGTGTATTACATACACAGAATGCCACTAGTATAGATACATTTGCACGTTCGCTCTCAGTTTATTTTCAGCACTCGCATATTAATCAAAATTACTGCTATTATTATACGATGTATACATGATACTAAGGTGCGGCCCTTCTAAGAGCGATATGCGTTTTTGTGTTAGCGTGTTGCGATTTTGCGCTTTAGTAATTTTAACAATAGAATGTAATTCATATGTGGGCACTGGCCTCAATGAGTGCACGTCGCGTGCAGCGCTGGAATCGCGATAATCGCTTAAAGAACAAAGTAGTTTCATATTCTGCGATTAATCGCTGTCAAAATGTCCGTTGGTTTTGTCCGAACAAATAACTACGACCGTCTTCGTATAGGGAACTATTGAAATCCTAGACATCCGAACTACAAAAATAGGTCCAACATGCAAAACTGCTGGGCAAACGTAGGAAACGATCTCAACATGAATGGTAATTTAATTAATTAATATTTTATATCTATGATTATAAGATTCTACAATATCTTTACCGAGGTATAATTATCAATAAAATCGAATACTTATTCAATAATTGAAGTAGCACTTTCAGCCAAGTTGACAATGAGCAAATGAAAAATAAAATGAACACGCACTAGATAAAACGCAGAAACGCATGTACACTTGCTTAAATGCTCAGAGCGATTCTGCGTTTATGCGTTTTTGCGTTTCGAGTGTTTCTGCGATTTTACAAGTGCGATGTCCGCTAGCGATTTTGATGTAAACGCTGTGCATTGCAGTGCCTTTAGAGTATTGGATACATGGAGTATTATAATAATAATATACTCAGTCATATATCCAATGTTCAAAGAAATTTTAAAATGTTGTTTAATGCTTATAACTCGCAGACTAAAAACATTTATTTTACGTTGATTCAATATTATAAGAAAATATTATTTATTACAAAAATATTATTTTAAAATGTACCTATTATTTTATCATTTTTGTATACATTTAAAGATTTTAAATAATTGTACCTATATTATTTTTTATAGTAATACGAGTTGTGGTTATAATAGAAAATAAAGTTGTATTATTTTACTATTTTTCTGTAAATTAATAAAGTTATTAAAAATCATAATATTTATGAATATTGATAAGTTCACCGTCAACAGTTATAAATTGGTTGTCTACGAATCATCAAAAAAATAAAAAATTTAAATACATTTCAATATTTTTATCTAGACGTTTATAAATGCTACAACAATATAAAATAAATGTTTTTTATAGCCCTGAGTCTTTTAAAATAAAATCTGTATAACATGGACGATATCGGTATTGGTAAATTATAATGCGATAATCCATTTAATGTGATAAGTTTTGAAATTACTAAACCTAGATTGTTAAAAGTAATAGTAAAAGTAAAGACTGTCGGTGGACGCTAACTTTGATAAACGTTCCAATAAAGCACACGATTAACCGATTATTACTTCGGGCGCATACATTTTCAATTTAACAACACTAAAGTAATTTATTAGGCACGATTTTAAGTCTTTTTTTTTAAGAATTCGTTAAATACGTGTACAATCCATGACCAATTATGTGTTTAAAATCTTACCATTCGCAATCACGCATTCGTAAATATTGTGTGTAATACATTATCTAATAATTATACACTATACATATATACATCATATATTATATATCATTATACAATATATGTATGTCATATCAATATAATACGTGTAATCTACTCAGATTCCTCACTTAAAATAAATTCTAAATGAATAAAAAAATTGGCGAACAATAATATGCAATTACAATAACACTACACACACGAAACGTATTATAATATCATATATTCTATTTATAATTTATTTTCAGCGTCGGTATGGTTCATGATTGAGTCTCCGGTAAAAAATTAACAATGGGCCCCTAAACAACATAATATTGGAGGAAATTCAATAAATACCTACTAAAAACGTTTTCCCTTGTTACGTTCAAACTTTATTACAAATTTTAATTTATTTTTTATATTTTTCCAAAATCAATATTATCGAGTCAGTGGCGTTCTCAGAAATTTTCAATGGAGGGGCTCTGAAAATTTACTAGAATACAAAAGTGGGGCGCTCTGTTCTCTACGCCCCCCATACTCATAATAATTACAAATTTTGTAATGTTTTAAAAAATCACATTATCATAAATTGTCACCAAAATGTTAAATTGATAGCGCGGTCGTGTCATAGAACATGTTCTATGGTCGTGCTCCAACCCAACTTGATAACCGTGATACTGGTAACTAATGACGTATAAACTACTAAATTATAATCAATAAAATCAATAATCAATTATTATTAAACTATTAGAATAATTTAAAAATAATACGGCCAATGGAGGGGGGGTTCAAACCCCCCCCCCCTTGAGTACGCTTCTGTATCGAGTTATCATTGTGTTCGTGTATGTAACTGTTAACAATACTTATCTCAATTTTTCAAATTATATTTGTTCGATTCTGATCAAGAGAACAAAAATATAAAAACTATAGCGGATATGCCTAGTTCTAATAAATCACATCAACAATACTTCTAGATTAAGATAAAAATAACCTAATTTTAATTTAATTCAGGAAAATGATTATGTACTATGATTTTTCATGTTAGTGTGGCTTCTTTGAGTCCAGGGGCGGATTTAAGAAAGATTAAGGAGGTCAACTTACCCACAATTAATATTTGTTGACAAAATTAGCCTCTTGAAGACTTCTTATATTTTTTAAGTGTCCCGACTATAAGTTAAAGTTAAAACTAAACTGAAAAAAATCCCCAGTTATCACCCCTTCTCCTCAATCGATGCCACTAGATTGATTATATATTAAAATAAAACATCTCTATGCCAGACACCATGTAAGCAGTGCTGCAACTACCGAGTGTGCAAGGTGTGCATTGCATATTGGCTCCTAAACCGTTACAGGCCTCACACGATATATTATTATAGACATTTTAACTGAAGTAAATTGATAAATGTAAAATACAGATTTATCATATTATTAAATATTTATAATTAAATAATATACCCAACTACTAACTAGTTACCAATGACCAAATGCAATACCATTTATTATAAATACTATTATATTACTAAAGTATTTATAATCCTATGATAATATTAATTCTTAGGACAGAAATAGTAGAAAATAATGCAGGTCATTTAAAATTAAAGATCCACTAGACTACCTTCCATAATATAAACACCGGTTAACATATTTTATTTATAGTAAGTAAATACATTTTTGAAAAAATATTTAGGCCCCAAATTCAGATTTGCATACCAGCCCCATAGTATGTAGTTGCAGCAC